CGTCAAGCAGATCACGTCCATCAGCATCGAGCCCGGAGTCGAGGTGGAAGTCACCATTGCAGATGCTTGAGCCGGCGGCTCTAATAAATCGATAATCGGCCGTTACGCTTCGTGGGCTCTCATTCCTGACCCTGACGGGCCTTAGGGAGGGAGTCGTACTCCGGAATTCATTGCACCTTGTAAGCAGGGTGTCGAGAAGTAGGTGGGTGGCCTGGGTTCCGCTCTTCCTCGTTGCATCTTGCAGGGCCCACTGAGTCAGTTTGCACGTGACGTTTGAACGCTGAACTGCATTAGCTACAGAACGTGTGAGACCTTGCGTTGGAGGTGAGTACGCACAGCTCTGGCCGCCTGTGGGAGCCCTTCCCAGGAACACGTGTGGGCGTTCTACTCTGGGAGACCTGACTTGATAGATACGGGGTATTGTCAAAAGTTTCTGGGGCGATTCTCTTGTGTACAGCCATGGTTAAGAGCTTGACACACTAGAGGGCAAGTAGCTCAGGGAAGGTAACACCTTAGGTTTCCAGCCCCGGCTCTGCCGGGTGGTCATGGCTCCTTTTAAACTTGGCAAATTTTGAAATGTTTTTGAAACTTTGTTGATTTTATAGACGCCGGTGCCTTGATATTTTAGATTAGAATAGAAACGATCCCAGTGCTTAGATTAACGTTGGGTTACATCTGTAGACGAGCTTTACATAATCTTCCTGGAATTATCTTTCACTGAATGTATGTAGGTCGTTCAGTAGGAGGCTACATTAACGTGTAGTTTGCACATAGATATTAGCTTCATAAATTTACGTCAGCCTTAGGCCCGAAAAGCACATCGCATAGGTCACGTTCCGTTTATTCAGGCCCCCGTTGGCACAGTAGCGGATGACACTGCTTAACTACCGGGCTCTGCTTATGTGTTACATCTTCTTGAATGTTCCCATTTTGTAGACATAGGAACTGGTTTTGAGGTTAAACTTGCCCGGCGTCCTAGGCTTAATAGCATAGCTGAGATTTCAGTGGGCCCATGGGTTGAGAATCCATCTTGATGTTCCATTAAAAGTGTTAAATTTTTGCTATTAGTTTATAATCCGCTGGATTTGCTAAATACGTGTTTTTTTGTTAGAGAAAATTTCAAGAAGTATCTCTGACAAGTATATAAGCATTTTACAAATGATAAAATTCTCCTCAGAAAATGTTCTCCTATTTGCTACTCTTAGTAGAATCACAGTAATGAGATTCCCGCCTTTCCTCTGGGCTGGGGTCTAGTCCACTTTGGATTGCCTTGTCCACTGGCTTCAGTTACCATCTGTGCAGTGTTCAGATTTCTGTATACATCCGGCTGTGTGCCACGCACCAGCGCCTCAGCGCCCACAGACCCTCCTGTTGTGTCTTCTCTCCCAATGCCGCCTGGCCACCACGTGCCACACAGCCGCTCAAAATGGCACTTCTCATCCCTTAACCCTCCCCCTACTGTTCTTTCCAACATCCAGGTCCTTTTGATTCTAATTTTTTCTCTTAGCAGGTCTCCACAAAACATGGGATTTTGAAAAGGGATTTCAGTGGCGCAGAACCTGGGAAGAACTATGCTAAGGTTAACCATTTGTAACAGCGTTAAGCCAGATCATCAAGTTTTATTAAACTAATTAGCTTGGGGAAACAGGAAGAATTGAAGGTTTCATTGTAACTGTTCTATAGACATTGGGCTGTAAAGACTTCAGTAAGAGTTAGACAGGAGTCTGCTTCGGTCCCTCAGGCCAGCGGCGATCCATTCTCCTTTTCTAGAGAAGCTGGTGTTCTGAGTTTAACTCTAGAAGTTGGGAAGAAAATGATCAGCCTGGCAGCGAAACAGTACGAACTTGTCCTCTAGCCCAATGTTAGGATTCTTTGCACTAGAAGTGCAAAGAGAGCTGTTATGGTAGTGGTTAAGATCATTGTAAAATTCAAGTACCTGGTAACGTGTGGCCCCAGATGGAAATTCCAACAAGCTTGTTTCAGTACTCTTAAGGGTATTGCAACTCAGAAGTCTTTGGAGTATGTGATCAATATCCTGAGAACTGGTTGTAAAAAGATCTCAGTTCTGTGAAAACCAAGCTACTTAAGGCTAAAGAGTAGATTATTGTGCAAAATATGCCATCATTAAGTCAAGGTATTGAAAGAACAGCCTGAAGGCTTTCACACAGTTCTGGAGTTTAGCCGATGGCATGCCAAAGTGACTGATGCTTCACAAATTGTAATTTATCACACTCAAATAGTTGGAGTTGTATTTAAGCTGTAAGCAATACTTAGGGCCTTTAATACAGCTAAAATACGGCACTTAAGATTTGGGGAACTATTACCTTCAATCCCTTAAACACTCAAAATGCCTGCTTGGAAATAAAACCCCTACAGGGCCTTCAAGTGTTACTAGTAGCAAACCAAAGTAAAGGTAGTTTACGTAGTGGCGACGATGCCAGTGATTCTGTGTCGTAGGCCAGCTTGTATGGGTTAGGGAGGGAGAGGAAGGTTGAAAATGGGAGGCCTCTGCGGTCCTTACCTCATTCCCTTTAGGGTCACAGAGTACTTCGCTTCTAGACATGGTGGCTACACGAAACGCGGCAGGAACATAAGGCTGTGCGTTGCTAGATCAGATTTTTTCACCTGACATCCCTAAGTATGTATGTTCAGGATCTGGGATGTCAAGTGAATGGGCAGGAGTGTAGAATTCTTGGCCATGCTGTCAAATCTGTTCCAAAATTAATTGCCTGGATATGTGGGCTTGATAAGATACCTCTTGGAGCCTCAGTTCTCATGTGCAGAATGAAGGTACTTGTATCTATCTCGAGGGCGTGTTGGGTGTTCCTTTGTCTCTCTGGGAGACATTTTCCAACAAACCCAAGACTGGTTTGCCAAGTGCATAGACTTCTCCCACGGGGACCTTGATTCCCACAGGATATGTGGTACACTGCTGACCAGTGGTATTGGTCAGATTACTTACAAGGGCATTTTGAGAAGTGTACTTGAATCCCCAGGGGCCTGGCCTTTCTAACTGCATCCTTCTTCACCAAAAAAGTGACTAAGCTGGTCTAACTCTACCGGAGAACCTGGCAGAGCCAAAATTTCAGCCTTTTGAAAGTAAGGAGCTAAGTCCGTTCTTAACTTCCTTCATTCTCTGGACAGTATATTTCACTTTCTTAGCAAATTAAAGTTGCAGAATGAAAGAACTTGATCCTTCTGTACATTCTGTCCTATAAAGTGCTTTCCTTTATATAGAACCCATCCCAGAAGGTATTGTTAATACTATATTCAGAACTTTTCACGTGAATATAGTGTATGTGATTTTTATCTATCTCCTCTTAGCTATATAAAATCGACCTCCTTTTTAAAAATACAAATGAGAATACTAAGCATTCTGCAAGTTATTTTGTCTTTACGTGTCTGGGAGATGTTTCTATATCTGCACATACCTCATTCCTTTCAGTGAGCACTGCGTTGTATGAGGGCGCCTCAGTTCATTTAACCGGACTCTTCTTGACGGACTTAATAGACACTTGCCGCTGTTTTGCTATTAAAAGCACTTCAGTAAATACGTTTTTAATATTTGTTCACTTGTACAACTATATAAGATACGTTCCTGGAAGTTGAATTTCTGAATTTTGATTGAATTGTAGATATTTATATATAGTGGCTGATATAAAAGAATTAGAAAGTCATGTATTAAAGAACATTTACTGTGGGTGTGTATATGAATGTTTTTCTAGGTTAGATAAGAGAAACTTTAAGATACTATCAAATGGATGCCCTCAAATGACTGCCCATTTATATTCCTACCAGTAGTGGAAATGCAGTAATGTCCATCTGCTGGACAAAAAAAATCTCATTATTTTAGCTTTGCCCTCCATTTGTTTATTTTCTCTTTCTGAGGCTCCTATTGATTGGATAACCCTTCTGGAGGTCCTGTGTGTCGCTTTCTTTCATATGCTCTTTTAGTCTTTTATTGTGTGGGACATTTCTTGGACTTTCTCATCTAGCACTTTCATTGATTTTTTTTCATGTTGTCAATTTTTAAAAAAAAATTCCCTTATTCTGGAAAATTACAAACGTATGCAGAAGTAGAAGGAATGGTATAATGAACCCAGTCGGCTTTAAGAACTGTCAGCTGATGCCAGTCTTATTTCATGTATAACTCCATCCTCTCCCCCAATCAACCCTCAAATTATTTTGAACTTAATCCCAGACATATTTTTGATGCACATTTATTTTTCAGTGTGTTCACTTCGAAAACATAAGGACTCTTCTTTTTTTTAACGGTTCAGTAGTGTTGAGTATATTCACACCACTGCAAAAGCTCTCCAGAACTTTCCACCTTGCAAAACTGGCTTTTTTTTTTTTTTCAAAACTGGCATTTTATACCCAGTAAACAACAACTCCCCATTTTCCCCTCCCCCTAGCCCTGACAACCACCATTCTAATTTTTGTGTTTCCGACTTCATGTAAGTGGAATCCTGCATAATGTCCTTTAGGTTCATCCCTGTGCCGTGAGATTTTTTTCTTTTTTTAAGGCTAATTCCGTTGCACACATATATATACACACACACACGCATACATATGTATACATACACCACATTTCTTTATCCCTTTATCCCTCGATGGACATTTGGCTTGCTTCCACCTCTTGACTTGTGAATAACGCTGCAGTGAACACAGGAGTACTAATACTCTCCAAGATCATTTCAGGTCTTTTGGATATATACCCAGGAGTGGGATTGCTGGATCATAGGGTGTAACTGTATTCTTTTATTTTTTGAGAAGCCTTAATGTTTTCCTTAGTGGCTGTACCATTTTACATTCCCACGAAGGGTTCCAGTATCTCCACATCATCATCAACACTTATTTTCTGATTTTTATTTTTGTTTGTTTTTGTTTTTTTTGTTTTTGCAGTACACGGGCCTCTCACTGTTGTGGCCTCTCCCGTTGCGGAGCACAGGCTCCGGACGCGCAGGCTCAGCAGCCATGGCTCACGGGCGCAGCCGCTCCGCGGCATGTGGGATCTTCCCGGACCGGGGCACGAACCCGTGTCCCCTGCATCGGCAGGCGGACTCTCAACCACTGCGCCACCAGGGAAGCCCTATCTGTGCTCTCTTTTAGCTCATCGACCACCTTTTATTATTTTGAATTAATTGGTAATTCATAGATCTCTCCTTCTCTAGGGTTGGCTTCTGGAGATTTTATTCTGATCAGGTGGTTGGGCTGTGTTTCCCCTTTTCTTTGTGTGCCATGTAATCTTTTATTGGGAATTGGGCATTTGGAAAAACAGCCACCTCTCCCAGTCTCTGGACTGGCCTCGTATGGGGGAAGTCATCTCAGCTAGAGATTTGGGGGACCTTTCAACCCTTTTCTGGGGATGCATCTTCTCTGGGCTTGTGTGTATGATTTCCTAGTTAGACTTGCCACTGTTTTCTTCTCAGGAGCCTGCAGTCTCTTACTCCCTCTGGTGTCTGTCTGTGGTACTGCATTCCCCACGGTATAACTTGGACAGAACATGACTGTTCTCAAGGGCCCCCCAACCTGGCATCCTTCCCAAATCAGTGTCCTGAGTCAGAGAGACAGAAACTAGTCTCTTAGGCAGCCCCTCAAAAAGCCAAAACTTTGGACTCATGTGTCACTCTTTTTTTTCCCTCCCAGGAGAGAAGCTGGGAGTTTTCTGGTCTTCTGTCCTCACTGGGGGAGTGGGAGGGACTAGGGCAGGCAAAATGCGAGCAACGTTCTTACATCCTGTGTGGCTCTTCTTGGCTTTGTGCTCACCTGGTGCTGCAGCCTCTTACCTGGTTTCTGGAGTTCTCACAAGGACACTGGTCTGTGTGTCCCTGCTAGGTCGTTGTCTCTGCGTGGGAATGAGGGTCTGGAGCTTCCTATTCCTCTGTCTCGCTGACGTCACTCTAAGGACTCTTGCTGAAATATAATCAAATATCGTTACCACTAAAAATAGCAGTAATCTCTTAATATCCTTAAATATCCAGTAGTAGTCAAATTTCCTTGAATGTTTTTATTGCGTATTTATTTGAATAGGGATCTAACTGATTGATGTGTTCCTCAAATTTCTTTCGATCTAGTGGTTCCCCTTCCATCTAAGAAATCATTTAAATACACACAGGCCTCACTTTGCATGGGACCAGAGAAAGTAAACACGCAAGCTGAAAACATGGAAAATGGTCCTAATAATCAATAGGAAAAAATTATGATTGTTCTGTGCCTGTAAAACTTTACAAAATATTAAGTCTTTTGCTTTCAGTTATAACTGTAAAGGGAAATGTAAAATAGTAGAACTTATATTCAATATACTATCACCTAAAACATTAGTAATATTGAGAATTAAAGTATTCTGTGTCTTTGTGAAAAAAGAAGAAAGCAAAAAACAAAAACTCAATAGTAGTTTGAACAGTGCTTACCTTCTCATCACATAACTTACAGGCATTTTTTTCTGTGCCTTGGTGAGTTGTCATATTTCTAACTTTGGTCATGAGACATTTCTGGATTCTTTTTAATGTGTAGCTTTTTAATGGTATCCCTCCTCTGGGACATCATCGTCCTTCTCATCACAGCAGCTTTCCTTATTCATCTCAGTAAGCCTGTCTTCACTAAGTCCCTTTGGCTGCATCTCTGAGCCTCTCAATGTCGCACTGTCAACACGCCCATGGTCCACTGTTTGTTCCGTAACGCCATTTACATTTGATTCAAACTTCACTTCCATCGTTCTCACACTTTGTTTCTTTGCTGTGCTTTTGTCTTTGTTGGCCAATTTCCTGTTCTAGCTCTCCATTTTTGTAAAGTGTCACATGGGTTTATTGCTGGGAGACACAGCAGCAACACAACTACATGCTTTGTTGTCTTTGCTGCCTCTGTGAAGACTGAATAACATGTGCTTGGTGACCAATCACTAGACTTTGAAAGAAATGACGTTCTCTGTGTGTGTGTTATTTACTCGGTGAATTGTGGACTGAAGAGCTAGCCACAGAGTTTATCCTCTGCAATTATTCACAAATGATACACTGTAGTGGCTGTTAACAGGAGCTGTGTTCGTGGGGACTGCTGGTGTCTCCCTCAGCTGTGATAACCAAAGCTCGTGCTTACCAGAACCTTGCAAAGCCAAGACAGCCTGCACTTGTCTTAGAAGCATCTCTTATTTCTTGGGGGCAGTTGTCTATTTATTTTGGCTTTTCCTTTTGAAACTGTGGGGAGCTTTGTTTTCTTTTATTCATAATTAAGAATTATAATTAAGCTTTTCTTTCTGGTACTGGTCTGGATTTTCCCTCATACGTAGATGGACCTGGTCCTCTGATATGCCTTTCTTCACCATTAGAAGGATGTCCATGGACTGGAATTCCCAGTAGGGTCCACCTGTAGGGAGTCAACTGCTATACTGGGGACCCTCACAACAGACACCCCTTAAGTGAAGAGCAACAGTTGGTCACACTTGATACTTTATCTTTTCCCAGGCGTCATCCGACTTACAGATTCTTCCTCATCCAGGACACACCTCGTTAGCAAGAGAGGTGGAGTAACGTGGTGTGGGGCAGAGGCTCCTAAGCAAGGCTGTCTGTCCTCAGCAATTGAATCTGCTCTTTCCTAGCTGAGACTGTGAGTTATTTATACTTCTGTATCTTAACTTTTCTCATCAATGAAATAAGAGCAGCAGTAGAAAATGCCTCATGGAATTGTTTGAAAATGACATGAGTGAATAATATACGTAGGACAATGGTTGGGACAGAGTAGGAGCTGTTTAAGTGTTTGAAAATGAATAGCTTTGAATTTCAAGAAATGAAATGGATCTGAAAATATGGCCCCTTTAATTTCTTGTCTCCACATCTGGAACAGTTCCCTGAATACAAGGAGGTTTAAGAAATTTTTTTTCCTGATTAAAAATCAACTAGGTTCCGTGGTGACTGCTTTTGCAGTTAAGTAGGCGGTTAATAGGAAGTAAATGTATAAGTTTGAAGGACTAAGTGTGTCCCTGACAGGCCACACAGGCATCGCAGTAGCAATTAAAATGAATTTATCGTACAGCCAGCGAAGAGAGGGACAAGACACAGCAAAGGCAACTCGGTGACACGATTCCAAACATCTGTTTGCTTCTATTTTGGGTAATCATTGCATTCTCACAGTACTTCAGTCAAAGCTGGAGGAAAGCAAGAACACTACGTATTTAAAGCCCAACAAAGAGACCATAATAAAACATTCAGCAAAAGTTCTAACGAGGCTGTATTAAACAAAAAAAGAACTATGGACATTGTTGGCCTGTAAGTGCTTATCAGGTGTTTTTAATCATATTTATTATTTGTTCACTTATGATTGCGCATATTGTATATCATCAAGTGTCTTCATTTCTAAAAGCATCAACACTGAGCAGGAATCTTTTTCAAGGACAAATCCCATAAAACTTTCCTTTAAAGAAAATGAGGGAAAACCCACGAGAGCAAGAAGTAAATTGTCTTTTAAAACAGGAAGGAGAAATAAACCAGTTACACTAAAATTAGGAAGCCTCACTGATCCCAATTCAGTCAGTTGTTGCCATGATGTCAGAAAATGATGTTGACAGATGCATGGTCCTTAAAGATGTTGTTTTTCCTTTGAAACAATCTCAAACTTGTATGAAAGCTGCAAGAACAGTACAAAGAACATTCCATCAGCCATTTGGGTGACAATTATCAACATGACATCATCATCCAAATACTTCGGTGTGTATTTCCCCCGCACACAACCGTAATACAGCCACCAAAATTAGGACGCTCACCTTGACCTCATCCTCACGTCTCCTGCAGGTTGTGCCAGTTGTCCTAATTTTGCTCTTTAGAGCACAGTATCCAGACCAGAATCGGGCATCTCGCAGAGTTAAAGGCCTCTTTAGTATCATTTAGCCCAGACCTGTTCCTCAGTCTCCCTTTGACCTTCATGACCTTGGCACTTGTGCAGGCTACAAGGCGGCGTAGTTTGGACGCCTCCCTTACCCTGCTCAGGCTGCAGCACCACTCAGGACTGCTTCCTGCAAGTGTGCCCCCCTTCTGCCCTGAGACCTTCCCGCGCGGGCGCGACACGCTGCAGCAGGCCACTGCTCCCGCTCCCTGGGTGGAGGGTGGCACCCATGGCTGAGTTGCTCAGGGAGAGAGGGATAAAGGGGAAAGAATAGAAGGAAGAGCCTTAAGTAGTCTAGAGAAATTGGTATTTGTCTAAACGTGAATTGTAGCAGACAACTTCGAACCCAGTTCATGAAGGCATTCCAGGCAGAATCACAGATTTTAAATACCTTTCCGTTTATGTCATGAATCTCAGGACTATTTTGAAGGGTTAAAAAGTGGTCATATTTGACTGATTATTCACTCGGTCTTAAACGTTTTATGTGTGTACCCCAAAATGATATTCAGTCTCTTGCCCAGACTGAAAAATGAAATGGGTAAATTGTATAGAACATTTAAAGTAGTTATAGGTTATTATGAAATTTGGGATTATATTCTGTAGTGATGTATTCAGGGTTCTCCAGAGAAATAGAACCAATTATATATATATATATATATATATATATACACACACACACACACACGTAATATGAAATTTATTGAAACAAATTTATTGAAATGTATGAAATGCATGATAAATTGTCTAGTGTGATTGTGGAGGTTGCCGTGTCCCAAGGTGTGCAGGGTGAGTCAGGGAGCATGAGACCGGGGGGGGCTGATGGTGTAGCTCCAGTGTGAGCCCAAAGGCCTGAGAACAGGGGAAGCAATGGTAGAGTTTTAGTCTGAAGACCAACAGGCTGGAGACCCAGGAAGAGCCAATGTTTCTGTTCACGTCTGAAGGCAGGAAAAATCCATGTCGCAGCCCAGAGGCAGGCAGGCTAAGAGTCCTGCTGCCAGGAGAGTCAGGCCTTCAGCTGCCTGGATGAAGCCCACCCACATTAGGGAGTGCAATCTGCTTTACTATCTACAAATTTAACTATTAATCTCATCCAAAAACAACTTCACAGAGACCCCCAGAATAATGTTTGGCCAAGCACCTGGGCACCTCATGGCCTAGTCAAGTTGACACATAAAATTACCATCACAGATGGCAAACTGCATGTTCCCACAGGGAGTCCTCCTGTGACCCCTGTAACTACTAGCGCATGCCACCATCACTTCTTTGTTGTTTCTTACACCTGTAACAAAATTTAGCATCTTAACTGTTTTTTTTGTTTTGTTTTTTTTTTTAATTTTTTTTATTTTTCGGTACGCGGGCCTCTCACTGCTGTGGCCTCTCCCGTTGCGGAGCACAGGCTCCGGACGCGCAGGCTCAGCGGCCATGGTTCACGGGCCCAGCCGCTCCGCGGCCTGTGGGATCTTCCCGGACCGGGGCACGAACCCCCGTCCCCTGCATCGGCAGGCGGACTCTCAACCACTGTGCCACCAGGGAAGCCCATCTTGACTGTTTTTTAAGTCTATGGTTCAGGGTGTTAAATATATTCACATTGCAATGAGGCAGATCTCCAGAACTACTTCATCTCGCAAAACTGAAACACGATACCCATTAAACAGCAGCTTCCTTTCCCCACCCCTTCCTCAATCCCGAGGCTACCACTCTGTTTCTCAGGGTCTGACTATGTTAGTTGCCTCACATAAGGGAAATCAGACAGTATTTGTCCTTTTGTGACTGGATTATTTCACTTAACATCCTCCAGGTGGTTGTTGTAGCATGTGACAGGATTTTCTTCCTATTTAAGGTTGAATAATATTCCATTGTACCTATACCACATCTTTATCTGTTCATCGATTAGTGAGCATTTAGCTTGTTGACTTGTTTCCACCTCTTAGCTATTGTGAATATACTGCTGTGAACATGGGTGTGCAAATATCTCCCAAGACCCTGCTTTCAATTCTTTGGGATAAGTATCCAGAGGTGGTGTTGCTGGACCACGTGGTCTAGCATCACTTTTTTACCTGGGCTATTGCAGTGGCCTCCTTGCTGCTCTGTCTCCCTGCTTTCACTCTCGTCCCCACCCCCAGGTTCATTGTTTTTTTCATGAGTGTTAAAATTATTTTTTAAATATTTAAAACAGATCATGTCATTTTTCTGTTTCGACTTCTCTAATAGAGACTTCCAGTTTCTGCTTGGGAGGTACAGGACTAGAAAGTCACTCCCGCCCTTACAGCAATAAGTAAAGCTAAACCTCAAGTTCATGACTTTTCTCAGATTCATCAGGGAGCTGAAGTCTTAAGGCAACCAACTAACCAAATCTGAGGAGAGACGGGTGTCTTCTGGCAGAAACAAGATGCAAGCACTTGCTTACCTGGGGCAGATAACAGCTGCCACGAAGAATCGCACACTTTTCGTCTTATAATGTCTTATTTACTTATTAATTTGACTGCGCCGGGTCTTAGTTGCGGCACACAGGATCTTCGTTGCAGCATGCGGACTTAGTTGCAGCATGCATGCGGCATCTAGTTCCCCGACCAGAGATCGAACCCAGGACCCCTGCAGTGGGAGCGCGGAGTCTTACCCGCTGGACCACCAGGGAAGTCCCCTTTCATCCTTTATAATTTCTGTGTTTCAGAAATACCTCAATTAGAGAATGTTGCATTCAGAAAAATAATTTGACAGATAAAGTTTAATCCTTTAATTTCCAGAGCTTTTCTTTTATTCATTCTTGGTGGAACTCTTCTAAAATGTGCTATACTTTCCCCTGCTTTATTAAATAGAATATATCAATTGTTTAGGCGGACCGCTCTGTACCTCAGGTGCTAGGAGACCATCTGTCCTCAAGGGCCACTGCACCACGAGGGGCTCTTGAATTCACTTAAAGAGATGCTGCTCTAGCTGTTCTCTTCTTTCGGGAGAGCTCCTCAAGGCTGTCTTTCCAGTGGCACAATGCCTACTGGAAAAGCTACTCTTTGGAAAGAATAAAGCCAAAGTTTAATTACCCTAGCTCTCAGATGGAAGGTACCAGTAGGCTGAGTAGGAATGGACTGGAACCCATCTAGGTCTCTGGTCGGTCTTGTACCCATATGATTGTATCACCTGCCCTTCCAAGGCTTTGAGAGCATATATGAGGTGCTATGCACCCACTAAACTCCAGAGAGTGTGCCCGCCCATCTAGGTCTGGTTATAAGGCTTTCCTGGAATTCTGCATGATATTGTACCATGAGCTCTTATTTGACAGAGAGCTCTTTGCTTAGGAGCTTTGGATCTCTAGACATCTGTGGATGGACTCCAGTGAATTCAGTTTGAAACTATAGACAGAATTTTGCATGTGCTTATGCCTGACCTTTCTGGAAAGAAGATCCGACAGTTTCATCAGATTCTCAGAAGGAATGAGATGGGCTGAGATGTTACCCCTCTTACTCCTAAGAAAAAGAAGTGATGAAGTGAGGTAATTAGTCTTCTGGACAGGCTCAGTCTGAGATGAGCATCTGGTATAAACAAGCCGATAGAATAAATTGCCAGGGTTACCTCTGTAGAATGAGCCCCTGAGGCACCCAAGTATGTACATCACACTCAAGCTACAGTGCTCTCTGTGCCAGGTCCTGCACCTGGCTTTCCTTCACTTACGTATCATAGACATCATTCTATTTTTGCTTATAGAACTATTCTAATATTTAAGAAATAACCAC